TTCCTTCCTTCCTTCCTTCCTTCCTTTCCTTCCTTTCCTTCCTTCCTTCTTTTTCATCTTTTCCTTTCTTTATTCTTTATTCTTCATTCCCCTCTTTCCTTCTTTTTCCTTCCTTGCTCTTTTGTCCTCTTCCTTCTTTTTCTTTGTCTTTCCTGTCCTTTCTTGGATGCTCAAATGCAAAAGAGGAAACATTCCTCACCTTGTGATCAAATGCCACTTAATTTATGGCCATTTATAAGAAACCAAGCTCATTTTATCCCAGGCTTGCAAACTATAAAGTAGTACAGCAAAACTGTCAAAATGATGGCTTTAATAGTTGATCAGAGCTCCTCAGTTTTTTTATGTACAACACCTTTAAAGTTTAAAAACAGAGGTAAGTTAGTTGCTTTTCTATTAATATATAATTCTTAAAAGGGCTCTCCTGTAGGACCCTGTCATGGTCTAATTCAGACTGGAAACATAGCAAACGAAAATATTTTTCCCCGCTTACTTTGTCTTGTTTTCCCCACTGGAAATAGCTACTTGCAATACACAAGGAGGGGATAATTTCCTAAGAGCTCACAATTGAAGAACACCAATGTGTACATGAGGTTTCTCAGGGTGGGGAAGGCCATAGGAATAGAACAGTCCCTCAAGGTCTCCCCAACCCAGTAAGACAGTGGTTGCCAACCAATGGGCCGGGGACCACTGGTGGTCCGCAGAGAAATGTCTCCCCCAAAGCAATTAATCCAGGCTGTGCGGGAACACAAGGCTGCCCTGCCCATATGGCTCACTCACCCAGTGGCTCCCACCCTTTGGCCAAGTGCAAACCTTACCTTGCGTAGAGCCACACAAGCTGGAACTGGAAGCTAAAACCAATGGCATGGACGAGAAATCCACCCTGCAGTGGCTTGCTGACATTGGTGGGAAAGTTGGTCCCATAATCCAGAGATGAAGGAGCCACATGACTGGCCCTTTGGTCATCCCAGAGCAGCTCCTCCAGTTCATGGCAGGCCGGTGCACCCGGGTGGAGGAGCAGCTACTCCGGGTGATGCATGCAAATGAGGAGAGACAGAGAGAGCAATCCAATGCAAACTCTCTCTCTCTCTCCCCCTGCTCTCTCTCTTTCTGTGTGTGTCTCTGTGTCTCTGTGCGTGTGTGTGTGTGTGTGTGTGTGTGTGTGTGTAAGAAAGAAAGTGATCTTCAGCCAAGCTGCTGGCAGTGGTGTGAGCAGCAGGAACCTTCAAACAGTAAGGCTGGCCGTGGAATTGGAATCTGCTGGGTGCAGGAACCAACACCATCCATGGTCCTAGTGTGCTGCTCTCTTACATGGGTCAGCCTTACTGTTTAAAGGCTGAACAAAGCCTTCAATTGAGTGAGGAAGAACTGCAGGCCCAGGCCCTTCACATCTACGTGCAGCCCGTCAGAGTTCGCTGCACCAGGACAGGAATGAGACCCTGTCCTATGGAGCCTGCTGTTGCTTGGGTGGAGAGGAGGAGGAGGAAAAAAAGAACAAGACTTCGTGCCAGCTGGCCAGGAAAGAGCCAGTCAGTCAGTGCTGACTGCCTTGTTGGGGAGTGGGGAATCATTGGGTGGCCAGTAGCTTAAATGTCCCAACTAAAGCTGGGATTGCACACAGTCTCTCTCTCATATATACACACACACACACACAAAGAGAGAGAGAGAGAGAGAGAGAGAGAGTGAGTGTTTGGAGAGCCCCCTCCAGTCCCTCCCTCCCCCTCTCACTGTGGCGGCAGTTGCAGCATTTCAGTGCCTTTCTGGCAGGGTGCTCAGATAAACCAGTGTGGGGCATGGATTGGGGTGGCTCCCCTGCCTTGCTTTGTACTCCACCCCCACCACATCGCTGCTCAAGTGGTTCCTGCTGCCCACGCCACTGCCAGAAGCTTGGCTGAAGATAATTATCTCTTACACACACATACACACAGAAAGAATTTGGAGAGCCCCTCCTTTCTCTCTCACTCTCTCTCTCTCTGTGCAGTAGTAGCTGAAGTGCTTCAGTGCCTGTCTGGTGGGTGCTCAGGTAAACCGGCAGTTCTGCACTCCCCCAGTCTTGCTTTATACTCCACCTCCACTGCCTTGCTTTTGGCAGTCACACCAGTGCATTGCTCAGCCTCCTGCTAGATTATGGAGGTGAGCAAAAAGAAGTGGTGAAGAATGAAATGATGCAATGGGGGGTGGAGAATGAAGCAAGGCAGGAGGTCAGAGCTGCCCGATCCTC